GAAGAAGAAGAAGAAGAAGAAGAAGAAGAAGAAGAAGAAGAAGAAGAAGAAGAAGAAGAAGAAGAAGAAGAAGAAGAAGAAGAAGAAGAAGACCATACTTCATTTTCAGGATTCCTTAACCTAGGAACATTAGGATTTGTCCACACATACAAATTGACACAAAGCAGAATATACACAAACATTGAGGTAAGTCCTATAACCAGACATCAAAGGAATGAAATGCCTTTTTCAGGAAAACTTTTGGAACTAGAGAAAGTGTTACTTCAAATATTCCAGTTCCACAAACACAGTTGTCACATTTTGTTTCCTAGGGATCCTGAACCAGCAGAAGGAAGAACCTTACATCATTTGGAAGTACTTGTCACATTTAATGTGTGGGTAAGTGAAATAGACCATGTAAATATGATCAAAATGCAAAATAGTCAGATATGGGAAGTCATGATCAAATTCCTCATGCTATAGAGATAATATATACCACCATATGTGTGAATTACACAAGACCAAAGGCAAAAATGACAAAGAAAGAAATTGATTAAAGGAAAATGAGGTGAAATAAGGAAAAAGCATTTGCAGGCAAAAGTAAAAACCCAAACCAAAGGTGTAAATAAAGCAATAAATAGACACCAAATGACAAAAGCCTAAACTGAAAACCTGGGAAATATACTCACCAAGTCGAGATCCGACAGGCTTGAAAAGCCCAAACCTAGCAGAAACAACTGAATCCAACTGCTCTCCCATCAACCGACTGCTTCTTTGAAGTACAAAGACAAAACCCAGCCCTAGGTGGCTCCCTTTTATTGGCTGATATCACTTGGACTCCATGTGATGTCACATGCAATGGTCCAATCAAGGCTTAGCAAACTCCATAGTGATTTTTCATTTTTTCTCTCACATTCTTGTTTCCAACCACTCAAATACTAATTTTTCTCATTTGTGGTCTAATAGTTGGCAAAGATCTACTTACAGGAGGCAGGGTTTATTTAACTTCAGATTTATAGAAACACAAGTCAACACAATGGGAGGAAATAATGGCTTGGACATCAGCAGAGTTGTCCAGTTGATTATATGGCATTTGTCAACTCAATATTCTTCTGACATTAATACAGATTTAAGTTTCCCCCAAATTCCATGTTCCTATGTGATGACTGCTTTATGGAGTTTTTACAGTAACAGACAAAGAGAATGATAAATCAGGGCGAATGTCACATACGTTGTGGAAACACTAGGGGGGTGAGTTAAAGCAAAGTGGGAGTTCTATTGGCCTCAGATGCTGCCTAAGGACATCCTCAGATTTTGATTGGTTGGAAAGCAGTGCTCTGTTTGTCTATTCCAATGAGCTACCCAATGGTCACAAAAATGTTGGGTAATAAATGGGTATGGAATGGGTATTAGATGTCCAGGGTAATTTGGCTCTGAGCTTGCAACATCCCAACCTCCCTGAAATTGCTGAAGTTCATCAACTTATTGGCTTTCAGAGGAAGTATATACATAGTTTTCATTCTGAGATCATTTATTCACAGTATATACAATGGGAAATTACCAAGATGTTATGGTTTAGTCTGATAACTAGGCTCTAAGGAGATGGGTCAGTTGGTATAAAATACACACCATGAAAACATGAGGACCTGAGTTTGATTCCCAGAACCCACGTTAGAATAAAGAAACAAGAGCTGGACTTGGAGGTGGAGAGGAAATAAAGATGAATGGATCCCAGAGCTCACTGGCCAACAACCCCAGCCACAGGCAGTCCTAGGTCAGTGAGGGATCTTATTTCCCAGAATATCACCTGAGAGATGACACCCGAGGCTGACTGCTGGCCCACACATACAAACACACACACACACACACACACACACACACACACAAGACAAAAACTAGTTACTTATACACCTTTTTCACTGATGTTTTCAGGCTTTTGTCTAGTTAGGAATTATCAAGGTGTGTTTAAGTATCCACTGTTAAAGTATTTGAAATGAGCATTTTATAAGCAACTGCTTTAATACCCTATGTCTCTGTGGCTAGCAATGGGTGGGGCTCTGTATCTGAACTTTATATATTGTACACAAGCTTATAGGGTTCTTTTTGTGTAAGCTTAATATATGCTAAGAAACTAGTAAGGGCTATTTTACAAATATGTAAAAGTCTGCATTATACCTGGACTCCCAACATACAAAGTAGCCAGTGAAGTTCTTTGGACATGTCTGTTATTCCTCAGCAGTGCCATTCAAAGAGAAAACCTGCTGTTCAGATTGTCTTCTCTGTATCTTTTCACCTGGATAGAACAAGTAGTGTGCTATCGCATGTTTCTGCCTGTCACCAACACTAACCATGTAAGTGTTCCAATTGTATCACGAATCTGTAAGCAGAGGTAACTGAAGATGCTCCAGTAGTGTGCACTCCAAGCAGTGCCTTTAAAACAACTGAAGGGTACTGGACACCTAAGGAGGCATCTGAAGTTTTCTTTAAGTGTTTACTCTCAGGGGCTTGAGAGATGGCTCAGTGGTTAAAACCACTGGCTGCCAGCCAGGCAGTCGTGGCGCATGCCTTTAATCCCAGCACTCAGGAGGCAGAGGCAGACAGACCTCTGTAAGTTCTAGGCTGGGCTGGTCTATAGTGTGAATTCCAAGACAACAAGGGCTACACAAAGAACCCTGTCTTTACAAGTCTCCCAA